GTGGTCACACTGCATTCCAGCATTCAAAATTGGGTCAGGCTCAATAAAAATCTGAAATTGAAAGTGCGTTTTGTTCTTTTTTGTTCTTTTTTGCTCTTTTTTTAGTTATTTTAGGTTTACTTTTAAATGTTTTGTTGTTTTAATTCAACTGTTAATTCATTCTATTCAATTTGAAAGAACTTCAGAGAGAATGTTTGCTGTTTGGCACCTTTTGCAGAACCTGGTGGCTCCAGAGAATATTACAGAGCTGAAATAGTAAAAGTGAATAAGAAACATGAAGCTAAAGTGAGTGCTTTTTCTGTTGTGTAGTATTGGGGCTTTGTATGTTTTGTATGCGCCTTTACGTTTTTAAATGTTTATTGGTGGTTGTTATTTTACTCAATTCTGATAAATTTCGATTGGTTGATTGTGTTACGCTTATTGAATTTTGATTGGTGCAGTATATATATTAACAATTTTGATTGGTTGAAGGTATTCTTTTTGGATTTTGGCAACCAATCCGTTGTTAGCCTCAATGATTTGTACCCTCTCGATTCAGCATTCTGTTTGACACCGTCTTTCGTTAGTCTATCATCATTCATTTTCACTAGCCATCATCACCACCACCACCATCATAACTTGCGTGACGACCACCAGGCGTTTGAAGTGAAGTTGTGCAACATAAAACCATCACCCACACGAAGTTACAGCAACAACTGGAGCCAACAGGACAATGCCTTCTTCCAACAAATTGTTTGCCTCAACACTCAATATTTTGCTGACGTAAGTTCTTCTTTTGTTCGTTCATTCAATTATATTTCATTTACTCATTCGATCCTTTGCTCATTCTTACAGGTTTACAGTGTTGTTGATAGTGTTGTAAGAGTCCGACTATTTGATCTCAAAGAAGTGCAACACAACAACAACAACAACAACAACAACAGCTGTTACGATGAAGTTGATTTTAATGAATTGTTGATCAATTCAGGGCATGCTGTCTACACTGAAGAGCCTCATATATCTAAGGTTCGATCTCTTGTTGGCTGGCTGGATGCTTGGTTTGTTGGTTGATTGGAACAATAATAAAGTATTGATTGAAGCCGTCGTAAGAGCCGCGATGCCAGCCACACTAACCACACCAACCACGCTCGCAGATAAACAACTTGGAACGTTCCGACGTCATCAGCATGCTGACCAGACCGAAACGAAGGATGAAGGACACTTCCGTATTCTTCAATGATGATGACCCGGGCCACCCAAAAGATGATGATGGTGGTGGTGGTGAAGATGTGGCGGGTGCGTTCGGAAGTTCTGGAGGCATCCTTGATTTCCGGCTCTGTCAGAAGAGGAGAGAGATTGAAAATGCGAGGAAGTTTCTTTTAAATAAGGATCTTCCGCAGAAGGTTGGCTGGCTGACTGCTCGTTGGCTGGCTGCTCAGTTCTAAAACTATGTTCTGTGATGCTTGACTCTGAATTGTTTAAAACAACTGTCAGGTTAGGTTGCGAGGTCCATACAGCCCATTTGAAGTTTCTTTCTACTTTATGCCAAGTTTCAGTTCAGTCAGGTCAGTTGGTTTGGTTGATTGATTAATTGATTGGTTTGTTCGTTCGTTTGTCATTCAATCAAGCTGCTCTTCAGTTGATCTTTTGATAGTATTTCGTCATCAAACAAACAGTCAATCACTCATTCATCTAACTTGGTTATATATTTATCACACAACATCAACCAACCAACCAATCACACAACATCAGCCAACCAACCAATCACACAACATCAACCAACCAGATTGACAACAGTAGAACAGAGTAGTGTAAATTCCATCTTCTTGTCAACTGAACCGGAAACAAGCACGATTTCTCCTCTCATGATTGGTGCATTCGTATCTTTGAATCCAACCAGCAACAAGCTCGTCGCCAGGGAAACCACCGTCATGCCTGCTATAAGGGGTCTCGATGTAATTGTGCCAGTCCTTTTTGCGCCATTGCTTGAATATAGGTCAAACATACGTTCTCGAATGATGCATTGCATATATGAATATAGATCAAACATATGTAATCGAATGATGCATGCATGTGTCACATTTTTAATTGAGGATCGTATGTAATTAGATTCTGCACTTTAATTATTATCAGATAGGGCATGAAGTTGTGTAATTAAATGTACAGGAACGACGATTAATTCATTCTGGTGAAAGTTATTTGAGTTGAATTTAAGTACACATTTAGTCCAAATGTGTTTTAATGTTGTTTTAAACTAAAGTTATTTGACTGTAAGAAGTAAAGAAGAAATGATAAATAGTGTGCTGTCGATAAATAATGAATTATTTTAGAACGAATAACGAAATGAACGCAGGATAAGCTCCGACGGTGCGAAGATAACTGGAGCCTTGTGTGGCTTGGGCTACCACAGCAACACAGTCAAGGTTTCTCTGCATCCTGAGAACGATGTCGAGGTCGTCTTCGACATGCAGTTTGATCTCATGGACGCTAAATTGGTCGGTTGGTTTGTCAGTTGCTTGGTTGGTTGGTCAGTTGGTTGGTCAGTTGGTTGGCTGTCTGAATGTTTCGTCGATTTTATACTTTGTTCATCAATCGTCTCAAATAACTTAGAATTTTTTCATTTGAAAGATTGATTGAAAGATTGAAATATTTAAAAATTGATTGATTGATTGAAAGATTGGTTGGTTGATTGATGCATTACAAGTTTGAATGATTTATAACGGTTTAAAAATTTCTCGGTGGATGCACTGACTGACCAATCAGATCAATGAAATTCGGTCGTCCTTCAACTTGATATTGGACGGGAGCATGGATTGGTCAAATAAAAATCTTTTAAAAATTCAAAAAGAGATCGCGAGCAAATTGTTTGAGTTCGTTTTCCACTTTCTATTTTTTATTAGTAATAATAATTATTACTACCTAACTGTTAATGATAATATTTAATTAAATATTTGAATATCTTTTATAAATTTTCTACGATATTTATTAATTCTCACTGAACATTCATCGTCAGGTTATTTTACAAGAATAGAGATGTTTGTGAGCCGATGCCTGTCACGAAGCAAGGACAATGGGGAAAGGTAGGTGGTGACGACTGTGATAATGATAATTATTATAATTCTCTATTAGGAATAATTTTTGTTATCAAATTTTTCCAAAACATTTAGTTAAAGAAACCCATGCGCATAACCGGTTACAACTTTAATGAAGATGACCCGAAAGCAACGACGTACTCCATCTATTTACCTCACCATGATGTTATCCTCACTAGCCCTGCTCCAGAATCTAATTCATGTTAAGGAAATTATCAGAGGGGTCCAGCCCGGAGCTAATTTTCAGTCTAATTAGTGAACGTGGTCTATGAAAGAAAATGTAAATAGGCCTTAAGGAAAATTATTTTTTTTATTTTTTTCTACAATTTCAGTTTTACGTTCCTATCTCTCCATTACATCGTGTGCTGATGAATATTGAGGCTGCGTTTTTTATTTTCATTGATGACAGTTTCAAATTTCAGTTTTATGCTTTTACTCATTGTTTTTAAGAAGAATTTTGATCGAAAATTTGTTCCTATCACTTGAATTGAACTATCTAAACTATCTATCACGTTAGCCTACACCTTTCCAACAGTGATTTTTAACACTTTATATGATTCCATTGCATTTTTGAAAATCTTTATTGTTGGATGTTATTTGCGATCACCAGAAAATAAAAAGGCTTTCATAAAAGGTTAAAAAAAGGTTAAAGGTCTATTACACTATTATTACTATTACGACTCATCTCACTCGAACTACTCATCTCACACGAAGCATTTTATAAAAGGAGCTATAAAGTAGCGTGAGTAAATTGGTCTCGTGTTCGCTGAACTCTTGTAACATATATCTTAACTCGATATATCTTGATTCATCGTATATGTGCCAGTATATAATGTGCACATTAGTACTTCAAGCGTTCTGTCCTTTTATATAATCAAACCAATCATTCGCTTTCCTAGTCGTTTTTGAAATCTCCTCTATAGCAGTAACACAGGAGGTGGTGTCAATGCTGCTCTTACAATTCTAACTAAGAATTACATACTGAATGATGGCAACAGAATTTTTATAGCGCTTGTTACGATATTTTGAGACTGCTGTACTATATGGACGAAACATTTTAGTATACACAAATATCAGCTAATAATTTCTCGTCAAATACAATATGCTGCCCATTAATTTCTACTTTCATTTACAAATAAATCATGAGATAGATTTGATGTGAATAAAAAATCTTTATGAAGAATGAATATCAATTGAAGGTCAAGAGAGTTGTGCAAGTTTTCATCATAGATATAATTTTCATCCACCCATATATGAATATACATACCTATTTACGTTGTATGTATTCTTGTATACACGTGTCTGAATGGTATGTGTATAAATAAATGCTCGTTATTGCACGACTGTTGTTTGATTGTTTGTATCATTTTGTATTGCGTTCTATTGTGCTATTGTATGAACATACAGATTTGTATTGTATATATACATATATAAGTGGTATGTATATTTATCTATGTACTTATATAATATTTTATGTCTATGTGTCTCTACTTATATGCAGTTTTAATCTTGATATAGGTCGCACGTGTTTTGACATTTCCGACTTTAAATTTTAAATTTCTCGTTTAATTTGTGATAAGGTGGCCGATTTTATATAAATTATTTATTCAGTTTTCCTAATTTAAAGTAAAATTGTAGTTTGACAAACTCCGCGTTTAATAATTTTTAGAAACGTTGAAGGTCTCTGAATGAATGCAAATTTTAAATTTCCATGAGATATCCAAACAAGAGAAGTTTGAGTTTGACCTTCTTCTTTTAAGCTTTTAATTTTTCTTTTAACAAAAAATTCAGATTCAAACGGTCAAAGACTTCGAAAAGGTTTTAGTTTAATTAAATTCTTCTCGAAACTTTTTTAAATTTCTTTTTTCTTACATTTTATTTTTTCTTGATAAAATTGTTAATTGACAATACTCTTGTTGAAAATTTGCGATGTTGAAGTTTAGACTAGCGATAATATTGCCCACACTGGCCTCCATTGTGATCGGGTACATCTGGTACATGAAGAAGAAACAAAGAAACGGAGAGCCAAGCTGGCCATCAAATGAAGAAAGTCAGAAGGCTGATGATGACTTGATTAGTGATGACGATGTTAGTGAAGCTAGTAATGTTAATGATGATAATAACATCCCATTAGAATGTAACCCATTGAATCTTGTAAGAGAATTCATCAACTCAACTGCTAGCAATCCTAATGGTGTTGGTAATGAAATTGGCAACGATGTTAATGCTGATGAAATTATCAATGATGATGATGATGATGATGGAGTTGATAATGGCAGTGACATCCTTGAGAGTCATTTCCAGTCACCATTATCATCCAATCATCATCATGATGACAACAGCAAACATGAAAGCAATGATAATGCTGAAAATAAAATTGGTGAAACTATCGAGCAAGAGGACGACAGTAAAGTCATGCAGATCATCTTAGAGGAGAATCGTAACAATCACATAGAGCCTTTGTTAGAAACAGAAGAACAACATATCAACACAGAAACAATTACACAAGCAAACACACAAACTGATAAGCAGTCAATCCCAGAAATACTCCCAACAACATGTGAAAGCATGTCTAACACAAATTCCAATGATATGCATGCAGACACACATGTCAGGCATGTTCAAAAAACTAGTCTATGCAATGTAGAAACTGATGATGTATCAACCATCAGTGCAAATACACATGGTATTGAGACAAGTACACATGGTGTTGAGACAAGTACACATGGTATTGAGA